TTTCCTTTAACCATTGTACACCTTTTAGAACAAAGGGATAATGTCAATTTCCGTCCATTAGCTGGATTCTACAGATATCACGATGCCATGTCACTTTGTATTTATGAAAATTACTGCATTGATATCATCAATCGCTATACACATCTTGAAATACATTTTCGTGGCTATAAAAAATCTTGTCCACAAATAGTCACAGAAGTTCGTGAATTATTGAGAAAAGTTATCAAAAAAAGCAGCGAGAATCTCAAAGTTGAGAAAGATAAAAACTTTATCTTTGCTTTCAAATGCCCCAATAAAATAACCTGCATTGTCCAGGAAAAAGGCAAAGCTAAAGACAAAGCTTCTACACAGTGTACTGAATGTTTTCCACAGTGTTACGTCCTAGATTTAGAAAATGATGATAGCTACAGATGCTGGTTTAGTGATCAAATGTCTAGTCCAGGTTAGTATGAATAAGGAGAGGTTTGTATTTGTATAATTAATTAAATACCAACATTTTATATCCATTATTTAGAAATTCATGCCTTGTTTTATATCATAAAGTAATTATTTTATTTTTAGGAGCTAAGACATCAGTAGATGGTCCACCTACTAAGAGATATAGAATTCAAACTAATGAATTATTAGGTAAATATATTGAGATATCATTCTTTTATTTACTATTTTTATTAGGTATCAGTGATCTTGTTGATATACTTGATTTACTAAAGAAGCATGGATATTCTAGTGTCAGTTATTATGATCTTGGTCTTCATTTAGGACTACTGTCTACTACTCTTGATGTTATTGAGGCTAATAACAAAGATGTTCGTGCTGCTCTAAGAAAATGTTTGACAGCATGGTTGCAACAAGTTGATAATGTAAAGAGTAAAGGTGTTCCAACTTATGATACATTAATACAAACATTGAGGAAGATGGGAGAGAATGCTGTAGCTGATGGGATTGAAAGAGAATTAAGTAAGGAATGAATTTACTAATATAATTATTAATTACATTTCATCATAGAAATGAACTGAAAATGGAGTAACTCTTTAAGATTTATATGCATGACAGACATTATTTTATATAGATCTAAATAGTTTTTTTGCAAAATTAATAATGTTTTCATTTAATTTTTATCAATGTGAAAACACATGGTATAATTATACGGAGTATAAGACGGAAAGTATACGGAAGTGGAAAAGATTTGAGATCGGTTCTTTTTCTACAAAGAATGAGTTCCATATATATAACAGAGCCCCCTACTAAAGGAAAGGTAGTTAATCCACCAGCAGCTGTATTAGTGACTACTGGCCCCTCCCCTCAGGTACTATTAAAGACCACACTGGGTGATATTGATATTGAACTGTGGTCCAAAGAGGCTCCTCTGGCCTGTCGTAACTTCATACAATTGTGTTTAGAAGATTATTATAATGATACCATATTCCACAGAGTCGTTTTTGGTAATTAATTAATAATATTTATTAATTAGTGGGTGGAGTTATAATTATTAATTATTAAGTAGAATGACCTATTGATGTTACGTTGCTTTCCTACATGTACATGTAATTTCTCTCTCTCTCTCTCTCTCTCTCTCTCTCTCTCTCTCCCTCCCTCCCTTCCTCCCTCCCTTCCTCCCTCCCTTCCTCCCTCCCTCTCTCTCTCCCTCCCTCCCTTCCTCCCTCCCCCCTCTCTCTCTCTCTCTCTCCCTCCCTCTCCCTCTCTCTCTCTC